ATGATGGGAGGCCATGTTAATGCAAGTCCATAACACATTTGAGCATATTACCCCATACCCCTCTCCCTGCCCCTTTTCCTAGTTCATGAACTGACTTGTTTTGCCTTGTTTTTTGAGACAAGCTCTCACTATGTAGCCCTGGCTGTCTTGGAACTCACTATGTAGACGAGGCTGGCCTCAAACTCAGAGAGATCCACCTGCCTCTGCCTCTTGAGTACTGGGATCAAAGGCGTGTGCCACCATGCCTGGCTTCTGAACTGGCTTTTCCCAAAGTATGATATGTTATATATTATGAGTAGTTTTCTTACATTGTCGTCCATTTATTTGAGTACTTCCTACATGTCAGCCCTCCTGTGCTGGGGGTGCTGTTGACATTCGTTCTGATCTTTAAGTTGCAAAGGAGAGAGCTGTACCACTTTCATGGAAAATCGGCTGGCCAAAGCCACCATGTGAACCCAGCTCTGACAGCTCTCAGTTCCAGGAGAGAGCTAAATACAAACAGGCCATCTTGTACATCACTCCCAGACAAGGGAGGTGATGAGCTTCAAGCAGTCCCCTGGGGCGCTGTGGTGCAGCAGTAACGAGGGTTATATACACGTGCCCACTCTGGTGCCCACAGCGCTGCTTTATTCATGCTCTCACACTACCTTTGACTCTGAAAGTACCCTGCATTATGACATCCCTGCCTGTCTGCTTTGGCTGTGGTCCATGTGGTTTCCAGCCCCCCTGTTCCAGCCCCCCTCAGGGTCTGGTCCCTTTTGATCCAGTTTAGTTTGAAGGTTTTATCTTCTACTGGGCTTCATTAAGGGACTTCCCCACCTCCTCCCCCAGGTTATAAATGCTGAGTGGTTCTTGGTGTTCAGATGGACAAATTAGCCCAATTAGATGGGTAAATTAGTCATTTTTATTTTCTGAAGTCCTGCCTTTCCAAATCACATTTACAGCTTTCTAACCAGCAATTTAAAGGGCACCAGCAGGTGGCCTTTGTTTAGGAGTAAAATGTCTTATGCAATGCCCTACTTAGAAATAGCCTTAGAGCTTTGCTCAGGACAGACTGGGAAAGTGGCCAAGTGATACCCCAGTCGTCTGGTGTGAGCATTTCCAAGCTTGCTCTCTTTTATTTTAGGTGGTGATGGGTGAGTGTCATAATCAAGTATTGCAGGGTTGACTAAAACCCACTTCTAATTCCCAAGCCTCATTTTAGTTAAAAAAAAAAAAACCAAAAAACTACTTTCTCTGTACCCTTCCCTCTACCACCCCATACTCTCTGCAAGAGCTGCTCGCAGGTACCAAAACAGAAAAGCCTGGATTCTACCTGAGTAAGCGGTGAAGAGCCAGCAAATGTAGAGGAAGTTAAGATGGACCCTGTAGGGGAGCTGGGGAGTTGTGCCTTAGGTTAGGGAAGCAGCCGAGGGGAAAGCAGCACCCCTTCATAGCTCACAGAGAACACGGACACCTCTTAACCCCCACAGGGCTCGGATTCCTCCCTACCTCATAGTTACCACAGGATTAAATGAGATAAAGCATGGAGCTCACTTGAAACATAGGAGGGACTCAATAAATGAGAAGTCCCTCCTTCCTGGACCCTTTCAAGGTTCAGTCTCAGATGATGGCGTCCTTGGCTGCTGGCTCAACTGCTCTTCAAACAGTCTTATTAATGCCTATTAAAATGAAACCCAATAAAAGTGCCAATATTCGGTGTTGAAATAATTGATGTTGCAGAGTGGGCCTATGAAGCACCTAAGCGGCCCCTGGTGCAATTTAGCCTCACACCTGGGGGATGAATTTCACAACTGTAATTGCTACCATATAATTCTTATTAATGTTGTGCTATAATTCCTATTTATTCCACGGGGCTTGTAAATGCATTAGGACTTGTCAACATATTATTTTACACTGTTTATGATCTGTAGAATTATGTCCTTCAGGGTTGTATTGTGCAAAAGTGCAAAATAGATGGCTTTGGGCCTCCCTCGTTAAAAAGAGTAAAATGGGACCACTGTTGAAGTGGTTCTCCATCCCAGTTGTCCTGAAGCCAGAGAAGCCAAGTCTTAATTCAATTCCAGGCAAAGTCCCTTTCATCTTTACGAATATAAAAGGATCCATCTTCCATTCTGAGTGGCGATTCAACAAAACAGGTCTGCTGGGAAATGTGTAGCCAGAGGGCAGATGAGATAGGTGGGAAAGGAATGTTCTCTCTACCAGAGGGCAGACCTGCACCTTGTAGCTCTTGGCATTTCTGCCCTCCTTGCTTCCTGGCTTGGGATAACCCCACTTCAGTTCCACAATAGCCTCCATAGGCTAAAGATCCAACAAGCATCCCCTCCTAAGGACAGATACCTAAAATGTATGAAGCTCAGTTCCCTCCCAGAACTGTTTGTAGTTTCTAGACTAGGAAAGCGGGAAACCAAGGGACAGAGTTCTACCCGTCAGGATGTGGGGATCTGGCTTGTATGTGTATTGAAAGGGTTTGTCATTGTTGACTATTTGTGCTTGGGCCCTTGAAGTGATCAGCGACCTCCTCTGTCTCCTTCCTTGATCCAAAAGGGCCGAGGATCTTTCCAAGCTCCTCCCTACTATTTCCTGTGTCTCTCTGTAGGTTCCTTGGTCCTCCAAAACCTCTATGGCTAATTTTGGTCTGCTAGTAGCTAGCTCTGCCCTCTGATTCAAGGTAAACTTTATTAGCAGTCTTAGGAGTGTCAGAGTGCAATCAAAATATCCTACAATATTTCTCTTTTTTTGTCTAAATAAAAAGGAAAGTTTTTTTTTTAACTCTAACACAGTGAAACTATATACAGTAAGAAAAATTATCAGGTAAGAATTATATCCACAATGTCCATTCTATTTGCATTGGCAAATTCAGAGAAAATACTCCATTATCTATCCTACTTGATGTCCAAAGTTTTGTTCCTAATCACTTTCTATCCTAACTTACATTACCAACCCAAAACTATCTTTTTAGACCTCAAAACATTTCCTTAAACAATTTATGCTTTTATGTCTCTCAACCTTATATACTTTATACCTCTTTTGTGAGTTTCTTTTATGAATTTGGTAAACAAGGAAACTGTAAAACTATAATTATCTATTCTTCAACCCCATCAAAGACCCAAGAAGGATAAAATATGACCTGAGTAAACAGGAAGTGCAGAGCAAGCAACTTCCAAAATTATAGAAATGTCAGAGACATTTGGCTGCCTGGACAGTCACCCAAGGTTCCTCTGCAACATTGGGGCATCTATCTTCAGGCTACAGGCCTAGAATATCTGACAAACTTTTCTGTGAAGCAGGAATTTCTGAAGGACTGTTCTGCCTTGGCTTGGCAAAGTTTGGCAAGTCTCCTTCTGTGTCCTGTTTGTCCAATTTGGACAACATGCTGTCAGCAGTTGAGGCAAAGGCAGTTTCTTCCCCAGTGGCTAACTATGCCACAATGAAAGCAAACTCCACATGGAGGTTCTTAGATGCCCAGCATCTTTTTTGTTTGTTTGTTTGTTTTTTGTTTTTTGTTTTCGAGACAGGGTTTCTCTGTGTAGTTTTGGTGCCTGTCCTGGATCTTGCTCTGTAGACCAGGCTGGCCTCGAACTCACAGAGATCCACCTGGCTCTGCCTCCCGAGTGCTGGGATTGAAGGCGTGCACCACCACTGCCCAGCCCATTATTATTATTTTTTTTTTTGAAGTAGATTGGTGCTACCAGGAGCAAATGTGTCTCACTGTCATGAAAAGCACTATGCTATTAAAACATCTTAAATGCTATATTCTGTAGATCTCTGAAGTGTTTGAAGACCATCTATCTAAAATATATCTGTTTGACTTTAAAAACATACTTAACATGGCCACAAATTTGATTGTTAGATGACTAACTACTAACCTGTATTTCTTAATTATCCTAAATAGTTTGTAATAATAACTTTCAAGGATTAGAAATTTATATTGCATTGTTAAATGAGCTGCATATATACAATACCTTAAACAAGAATAGAAACATATATACAGTATAACAAAATTAACCTGAAATTTGTATCAATGTATAAAAATCAATACCAATGTAAAATATTTAAGACTAGTAGTTGCTTTTTTTAGTTTAAAAGTAGTTTCAATAATCTACCCTTTTATTCTATCATTTCCATATCCTCCCTTTTCTTTTCAGAAAAAGATCCTTGAATCCAACCTCTTTTGTTTAGTTTTTTCCCCCCTGACCATAACCCCCTAAACATGACAAACATACATAACCCACCAAAAACCACCTACCCCATTTCTTGGGAATGTGGGCTTTGTGTTCTCTAGACTGCTTCCTGTTGTCTGGGGGTGACAGCATCTTTAGGGGACCCTAAGGCAATTGAGATAATGGTCAAGTCCTAAGAGAGCTAGCTGAATTATTTTTTGTTTAGTCTCTATGTGGTGGGAAAATATAGGGCTTATCTGAAGTCTTGGCTGGAGTAGTCTGTGAGGCTGGACCATCTCAGCTAGCAGCATTGAAGATGTTATGGATGTAGAATTTTGAGGAAACTGCAACAGAGGCATCTGAGAGGCTGGATCGCCTGTGCTACTTGTCTTCATTGGTGTCTGGTCTTTTTGTTCTGAAAACACACAACCTTTTAAATGTAACATACATATCTATATTAACACAAGTATGGATGTATACAAGTCAGTTTATAAAAATTTGAATGGCCAATAGCTAGGCAGGAGGTATAGGCAGGACTTCTGGGCAGAGAGAACTCTGGGAAGAAGAAAGGCGGAGTCTCCAGTGAGACACATGATAGGAAGCAGGATGGGCCATATGGAGATGAGGTAACACGCAACATGGCAGAAGGTAGATTAAATAATATGGGTTAAGTTATAAGAACTGGTTAGGAACACGCCTAAGCTAAGACTGAGCTTTCTAACTGTAATAAGTCTCTGTTTCCTTATTTGTGAGCTGACTCTCCTGTGCTGTGGCTGGGGCAGGTCTGTGGGGAGGTGACACTTTCTGACGGCCTTGCACTTTTCTTCTGCTCCACAGGCAGTGAGTATGATGAGGAGGAGGTGGACTACGAGGAGTCTGATAGCGATGAGTCCTGGACCACAGAGAGTGCCATCAGCTCTGAAGCAATCCTCAGCTCCATGTGCATGAATGGAGGAGAAGAAAAGCCTTTTGCCTGTCCAGTTCCTGGATGCAAAAAGCGATACAAGGTAAAGGGAAGACCTCTTCATTGGTGTAAGTGCCTGGCAGAGGAGCACTTGAGAGAGGGTTGGCCCTTCACTGTTCTAGAGAGCCTGCTTGTGGGCCAGGAACAGACACCTCCTCTCCTGTGTTCATGTGCACATGCCCAGTGTCCTCTGCTGAACATTGCCTTCGGCTCTGGATGGCTGGCAGGGGTCTCTCCTTCTTTGACTTGTGTGGGAGGTTCACAGCAGAGATCTTGTGTAGGAGGCCCATGGCTTGGACCCTCTTAGTAAGGGCCTGTCAGATGTCCAGCGCAGGAGCTGGAGTGTCCGAGGGAGAGACCGGGGCCTAGCATGCTGGAGGGACCGCTTCCATTCAGCACCACAGAACCAGAGCCAGGACTGTGGCAGCCTCCTAACTTGCCAAGCACTTCCTTCAGTGGACAGATTTCCAGGTGGCCGAAGCTGTAAAAGCTCTAGCCGGTTTACAGAGCCTTCTGGAAAACAGGGCAGGGTGTTTGCCTTCCAGCTGGGTAGTTCTCACCCCCTTCCCCCTTCCCCATAAAAGATCAGGAGAAGAAAATGCTTTGATTTCCCCTCACTTGAGCTTCTGCTCTGTGGACCTGCTGTGTCTCTAACAGTCCTCACTGGGTAGCTGGTGGCACTAACTTTTCTACTGAGAAAACTAAGGAGAAAACAGTAAAACAAACCAACAAGGAGAAGTAGCTGCAGGAAGTCCCCACAGGTGTTAGCAGCTCTTTAAACTCAACTGTGGTAGAAATGGAAAAGTCCCAAGCACGCCTGGTAGACTGGACAGCACACTGCCTTGCCCGTCTGTACACACTGGCTGTTTTCACGGCTTGAACATTGGTAGGCAGAATGAGCTCTTCTCACGCCGCCCCTTCAAGTTGTGTCTCTGAACTTAATGGAACAATTCATTTTCAGTATTTTAACCTCTGCTATGGAAAAGCAGAAACCAGGAAGGCATCAGAAAGGTAAGTGGTCCACTCACCTTCTCTGTGAACTGTTAGTCCAGAGGCTCTTCATTAAACAGGAAGTCAAGCCCTAGGACAGAGATGTGAGTCCTGTCCGCCTCCTGAGGGCTGCTCAGGCCAGGCCAAGACATCACAGACCACACAGGTGCAGCTTCTCTATCAAAGCTTCGAGGCACAGAGAAAAGGGGGCCTCTAACAGTCCCAGTACAACACCCCAAAGGGCAGAGGGAGGTGGGGAGCCCCAGAGGGCAGCGCTCACTGCAGAAAGCTTCTTCCTCCTGTCTGGATTTCCAGGACGAGGCAGACAGGGAACGGCAGGGCTGTCCTGCCTGTGCCGACCCACTCTCCGATCAGCTGCTCCCCTTCTCGCTGCCTCCTCCCCAGTGTCTGAACACCGTGTGGACAGAGCCTTGCACATCAGCCAAGTTGAGGAGGAGTCCAAGGAATAACTTGCATTGAGGGACCACAGACAAGGGAGGAGATACAGGCCCCACCTTCACGCTGGTCCAGAGGGCGGGGCATTCCTCCCCCTCCCTCTAGCTACATTTTTCCTTGTTCCTATTCTGTACCCCATGCATTTCTGTCTTCTTATTCTCTAAGTTTCCAGCAGCTTCTTCCTTTAATTGTCTATGTCTGGATTGACAGACAGCCGTGAATGTTCTCTCCTTTGAAGGTCAAGGACAAACTTAGGGAACCCTTACTGCAGGGGATGAAGGCTTTGGGTACCGTTAACTGACAGCTGACAGGGTGGGATTAGTGGTCCTAATGTCTGTAAGAGAAGTGAGCGAGAATGCCCAGTGACGATACACCAGAGAAGAGATACCCGGCCCCTCCTCCCAACGAGATGCTGAGCTTCCCTCGAGGCTGTAGCGCAAGCAGAGCTGTTGTGACAGACTTAGTTCATCTTCACCATGTACTTGGGGACACTGGCACTGCCAGGGGGGTCGTAACCTGCTGGTGTGCTCTGGAATCAGGCAGGATCCATAAGGGCAGCCATACCGTTTATTGACTTTAATTTTACACTGCATCCAGCAGGGAGTTTCTGACAGGTGTTCTCCCGCTGGACACTGGCTCAGATGTTGTTCTCCTCACTCCATCTAAGCTCCTAGACTTCACATAAAGATTAGGACTCAGAAAAGAGACCTAACCAGGAGGGCCTGGTGCCTGCATCTTCCTTGGCTTAGGATGCTCCCCCCAGAACTCTGTAGAGGAGGAAAAATACCTCCCATCCCAATAGCTGTAATAAGATAAAGGTGAAACACAAACCTAAGTTTATTAACATGTGTGTTTCATATATGTGCGCATAGGAAGCAAGCAATGAGTAAGCAGTTGTTGCAGAATAATTGTTTATACTGTGTGAAGATGTATCACTGTGATTAATTCAATAAAGAGCTGAAGTGGCCAATAGCTTGGCAGGAGAGAATAGGCAGGATTCTAGGCAGAGAGAGGAACTCGGGATGAATCTAGGCATGCAAGGGATGCCAGTGAGACACAGAGGGAGCCAGACATACTGTACAGCAGGGAGGTAAAAACCCACGTGGCAAAACATAGGCTAATAGAAACAGGTTAATTTGAGCTGTAAGAGCTACTTGGGAGAAAGCCTTAAGCTAAGGCCAAACTCTGATAACCAATAATAAGTTCCCATGTCATTATTTGGGAGCTGGCGGTCCCCAAGAGGAAGTCTGACAAGGAAGACTATAGAGCAGTTTTCAGAGCTGGCTGTGAGTCTCAGCTTGTGTCATCTTCCAACAACGAACACCAATTCCTAGAGAGAAGGCAGAGGCCACACTTGCACGGTGCACAGGGAAATGAGTGGCCAATGAAGTGTTGCCTCCAGGTTCTCTGCTACCATCTCCAGGCCGCTAGGTGTCGAGCTGACTTGAGGGGCTAACCTGGCTCCCCTGAAGAGAAGGCAGGATGCAGACAGAGGCAGAGCGCCGACAGAGCATGTCTGCCATGTGGCCTTTCAGCCCAGCAGTCTTGGCAGACATGCAGTGGGTGGAATTTCTGGGCCCCATACTTCCTGTCTCTCGGTACCTCTTACTGTAATTCTCCTGCCTCTGTCAGGCTCCCAGTGCCCACTCTGGACAGGTCTCTCCCCATACCCAGTGCTCTGAAGGTGCCAGCTGCTGTTACAGCCCCCCTAGCACCCAGCACGGCCCCTGATGTGGTAGACAACCTCAGAACCAAGTAAAGCGTCACACCCGGAGAAGAGGGGCCTGCGGCTCTCCACACCTGACGCACTGGCAAGACAGGGCAGCATGGTTTGTTTGGTTTTGTTCTTCCAAACCCCCAGTGCTTCCTGCCAAGGGCACTGACCCCTCCCCCACCTCTGTGCAGCTTCCTCTCTTCTGCTTTGGAGCCAAAGAGCAGAGACCCACACCCTACTTCACCCCGACCTCACCCTTGGAAAGTGGAAAAACAAGTCCAAGTGCACAGTTTCTCCCCCTTGAGTTGTACACTAGTGGTGAGGGTTAAATGTGGCTTAAGACATTTGAAAGAAGCCAGGCGATGGTGGCGCACGCCTTTAATCCCAGCACTCGGGAGGCAGAGACAGGCGGATCTCTGTGAGTTCGAGGCCAGCCTGGGTTACAGGGTGAGTTCCAGGAAAGGCACAAAGCTACACAGAGAAACCCTGTCTCAAAAAAACAAAACAAACAACAACAACAAAAGGAAATGCGAAACAAAGTCCCTTCATAGGTGTCCCTGGGTTGATAATGCAGCAGACAGACCCACAGAAACAATGAGTCTGTTCTGATACTTAGGGGGCTCAAATGGACCCTTTGGATCCCTAAGGGACTGGGGCTCGGCAGTAAAGAACCAGAGCCTTCACTGTGCTCCGTTAAGTCCCTAATTTCCCTCTTAGAAATGTATCCGAGGCTGAGACTGTGGCTCAGTGGTACACTTGCTCTGGGTTCCACCCTCACCTCCACAAGAAGTCTCCCCTGATATCTCTTAAAATGTAGGCACTCATGTAGCAAATAGTAAACTTCTAACAGTAAGGGAACAGTCAAATTCTGCCCACAGAATTCTATTCTCCACAAGTATTTATGAAGGAATTTCCTCAGGTAACATTGTATATGAATGGGTGACTTCTTTGACACACATACACTAAACCCTGAGCCGCCTTTGATGCGAGCAGGGCGCCTGTCCTACCATAGTCCCTTGGCACCACCTGCATATGGACGTGTGCACTGAGCACGTGACCCATGGGAGAGGCCTGCTTTTGCCTGACTAGCCCCAGTGTGGCCAGTGCTGTGGAGACAAGCCGTGCCTCTCGTGCGGCCTCGGGGCTGTTGAGAATCCCCTCCGCTGCTCCAGATGGGCCCTTGAGCCACACTCTCCTCAGCCGCTGTGTGCCCTTTCCTCCTCACCAAATTCCCCAAGAACCCTCCCCACTCCCTTCACCTACAACAGTGAGGACCTCAAGGGACTGAACTTCAGTTTCCCTATCCAGGCACATCACATACTAGAGATTTGGGCCGAAACACTCAGACCAAACATCGAACAGGACAGAGGCCCAGCTCAGCGTCTGCCTCAGGCCTCCTATGGAACAGTAGTTTTTCTACTCATCAGTCTAGTCTGATAAGAGCAGTACGTCTTAATGGTAGGATCCAAATTTCCCCAAACCTAAGCCCTTTCCTGGGCCCCTGTGTGGCCTGCCTTCCTAGCTAGCCCAGGGTCAAGATTGTTGGGAGTCCCAGCCCTTCACAGTAGGAAAGGTACCCAGATCACCAGCTGTGTTGGAACTGAGCAGTAGCTAGCACTTTGGGAGGACACCTAAGGAAATACAGACCATACGACTGCCTTACCTGACGCCCTTCCAATTCCCGAAGGCAGTCATTCCCTACAAGACATTCCCTCACCTAAAATGGGACTTGCTCATCCGGCAGCACCAAGCCTCCAGTGTTAACTTTTAGATTTTGCTTTGTGTGAACCTTCCTGTTCTTTCAAAATTGAGACTCCAGAGGATCTGAGCATTTTGTTAATATTTCTGAGGGGCAGAAACTCAAGAGAGTAATGTCATCACAAATTTGAGTGACTCGTAGCCGCTCTTCTTGCCTACACATCTGAGCGACTAGGTGGAAGAAAGCTTTTAAGAATCTGGAGCTGGGGCTGGAGATGGCACAGCACTTAAGAGTACTTCCTGCTCTTCAGATGACCTTTCAGTTCCCGACACCCACATCAGCAGCTCACAAGTACCTGGAATTCCATGTGGCATACACAAAAGCACACACAATAAAAACAGAATAAAGTCAAAACAGAATCAGGGCTGGAGATGGCTGGGGAGAGCATTTGCTGAGCATGCGTTTGTGTCTGGATCTAGCACCCACAGCAGGCAGCCACAGCCAGGAAGGAGCAGCCTGGAAAACTGCTGCGGCTTGCTGGTTGCCATCCTAGCCCCAGGCTGAGAATGAAGGCCAGGCAGAGAATGATGAGCAGTCGTCACAGCCCTCGTCTGGCCTCTGCATACCCACAGGCACACACCCCTTCTCTCACCCGGAGAGAAGGCCATCTGTCCACGAACTGTGGCAAGGCTTCCCCACTGATACTGGGAGCTGGGAAACCACAGCAGCTGAGGTGCTAGCCTGCGCTCTTCGGCGATCCTGAGAAATAACATGCTTACAAACACGTGGCTGCCTGCCTTCTTCCCAGCGGAAAGCCGGAATGGGAGGTTTGTCCTTTTTCAGGAAAAGGCAGCAAAGCCTGCCGGACTCATGTCCCACTCCTGGTGGGCTGTCTTTGGGTTCGTGGGGGCAAGCTTTAAATGTCTGTCTGGCTTCAACTCTCTGGCCTAACTGGGTATAAAAATCCAAGCCCGGATGGCATTACCAGTTACTCTGCCTCCTCACTTCTACCTTAACAAGGTAGGAGTGGTAGTGGACTTAGGGGTGTGTTTGCTTCTACCTTAACAAGGTAGGAGTGGTAGTGGGCTTAGGGGTGTGTTTATTTAACCAGTGTGCTGGCTGGTTTACCTCAGCTTGACACAAGCTGTTGTCATCTGAGAGGAGGGAGCCTCAATTTAGAAGATGCCTCCGTAAGATCCAGCTGTGGGCCACCGTGTAGGGCAATTTCTTAATTAGAGATGGATGGGGGAGGGCCCAGCTCATTGTGGGTGGGGCCACTCCTGGCCTGGTGGTCCTGGGTTCTATAAGAAAGCAGGCTGAGCAAGCCATTGAAGCAAGCCAGTAAGCAGCACCCCTCCATGGCCTCTGCATCAGCTCCCGCCTCCAGGCCCTGCCTTCGCTGCTTGGATGCTGACAGTTAAATGGAACTATCAGTGAGATAAGCCCTTTCCTCCCCAAGCTGCGTCAGTCATGGTGTTCACGACAGCAATAGGAACCTGAAGACACCCATCTTCCAACAAGAGTCACAGAAATAGACCTGAAATGTTTGTGACCCTTCACCCACAGAAAGACTAGGGTTCACTGAAGATCCACGGAGCTGATAAACAGGGTGTTAGCAAGCAGACGAGACAAACTCCTAGCTTTTGTGAACCAGAGGATAACTTCAGCGCGCTGGATTCAGGAGTCTTTTCAAGTTTTTTGGAAAGTGCTAGGGACTAAATCCGGAAGTTCGTGCATGCCACACAAGTACTCTACAGCCCCCGTCCCTGGGAGTCTTCTTCCCAGACTGTCGTTCTCTCCCTCCTACCCCAAACGTAACACCCACAGCTTTTCTTAGTTAGGTTACTACTGCTATGATGAAACGCCATGACTGAAAGCAGCTTGGGCAGGAAACATTTTAAATTGTTTATTATTAATTATGTGTGCAAGTGGGTCTGTGTTTATGTGAGCTAAGTGAAGGTTTCTCCTGGGTTCAGAAGAGGGTGATTCCCTGCAACTGAGACTGGGCCAGTAGTAAGCAGCCCCGTGGGGCTTCTGGAACATTCTGCTCATCTGAACATCCTGATTCTTATCTGTTGCTAAGAAATCCAACCAGCATTTTGTCAGCCGTGGGCCAACTTTATATGAATAATCTAAATTTTAAAAGCATGCTGTTTGCAATGCGGTACATCAATAACGGCAGTGTCCACTCACAGCTTGGCCCAAGCAGGGCTAACTGTCAAGATTGTGACTCTGTCAAGATTCTAGGCAAGGTGTGCCAGGGAAGTGGCAGGAAACTTACCACAGCTGCGTGACCCTAAACCATGAGTTTCCAAATAAAAAACTTACACATCTTATATTCGATCTGATTTTTGTTGTGTTCTTTAGAAAGATATTTTGTTGGTCATTCCGAAACATTCATAGGATTTCCAATTAACTCTCTTCTGAGTAGCAAGCTTTAGTGCCTGAGAAGCGAGGCTTCAAGAAACCAAGGGAAGTGCACCCTTAATTCTCTCACACAGACTACTGTATACAGCCCAGGCCTAACAGACCCACGTGAAGGCCATCCCAAGATGCCATCTAGTAGCTACTCTCCTAGAATCTAACCCATGCCAAGGTTTGCACAAGAGTAACAAGCCTCCTCACAGGTAATTTTTTATCTTCTCCACAGAATGTGAATGGCATAAAGTACCACGCTAAGAATGGCCACCGAACGCAGATCCGCGTCCGCAAACCCTTCAAATGTCGGTGTGGGAAGAGCTATAAGACCGCTCAGGGCCTGCGGCACCACACAATCAACTTCCACCCCCCGGTGTCAGCGGAGATGATCAGGAAGATGCAGCAGTGACGGACGTGCTGGGCAGAACTGTGCCAAGAACTCCTCACCAGCAGTTGCTGATTTTGAAAACAGCCACCTTTTTCAGGGGGAGCACTCAGCAACCCTTTAATGAGAAATGATTAAATGCATGCTTTAAACTTTTCTGTCATTTTGGAACGATGTGTCTTTGTAGAGTTGATGATTTTGTACATTTGCACATGTAAATCATCACACCCATTTCCATTACTTCGATATAAGGTGCTAAACGAGAAAGCTCTAGGTTCTTCAGCACATTTTCCCCAAACAAAATCCAAGGAAGGGCATGTTGCGTACTGTTGAATCACACTGCAGTGGTGTTAACTGGGGGTGGAGGGGCTGGCACTGAGATGCTCTGCAAGATTGTAATGTGATTGAAGCTTTTCAACACATCAACTCACATAAAACCAAAATAATACCTTCATTATCAAACTGGTTACCATGCCTTACATAATGGAGTTAGTATTTGTGAGTAGAAAGACTTTAGGTAATGGAAATATAAATAAGAATGTTTAACATAATATGCTAAAAGTATTTTCATATTTAAATAACATGCATAAAAGGTGTGCTTTGTTTTGTTCTGTTTAATGATTATCTTGCCCTTTACAAAGCTGAAACTCTTGCCCTTGAACTTACCAATCACTTTAGTGTTCTAAATGGCATCTTTGTGCAAAAGACTCAGTTCACTCACTAACAACACACTCACTGAGTGCCTGCTGGGTGCAAGAGACTGAATTTATACCTAATGTTACTGTGGACCAAGAGAGCAGTGTCTGAAATAGTTCCCCTGAAATCTGTTAAGAAACACTTTGAAATACTTAAGTGCAAATTGTGTGTGTGTGAAACTTAGTTACAGCCTCATCAACAGATGAGGTTTTAAAGCACTTTGTAGTTCTCTATTGCCAACAATGTTGTGTTTATATGTTGCCAATTCTTGCAACCGTTGCCCTAAGAGATCTGGGGGGTGCGATCTGAAATAAAAGTGAAACACGTCTCAAAGAGGAACACCATCCTTAAGACCGACCCCTAGAGCCCCTTTCATGCTCAGTGTTGACTCTCTTCAAGGCACTTTCCCATCGCACTGTAGATGTCTGCATTTTCACTAGAAACGTCTCTTTAGCTTTGGAAAACCTTCGCCAGGATCTGAAAATAAGCCTTACTGACAATGAAGTGCTTCTTGCAGCAGGTGGTCAACGCGGGACTAACACACCCCACTAAGAGTGACCTACATCGGGACCATTCCTCAAGTTTCTCTCACCGACAGTACCATCATGTGTTGAGTGTTCTTTTCTCCCAAGTGCTATTCTTTAAACACAAGAGTTTACCAGTTGCCTAATGCGCAGTCCAAGTTGCTCTGACACAGCTAACTCCACACAGTACACACTGGGGAAAAGCCAACTCCAGGGGTTCCCTCTCAGAGAACGTCTGTCGTCTGCTGACATCCCCACGGAGATACAGTAGTGCTCCCTTCCCAGTTCCTCAGTGTGAAAAGGCAATTCTGCTGTACAGATGGGCAAGCCTCTGCATTCCTAAGTTGTAAAAAATATTTATAAAGATGCTGCCCACTAAAAATGGCCTCAGTTCTGTAAAGCAGTCTTGGTCCTGACTATACAGTGTTAGCCACGTGACGTTAAAAGGATACTCCAGAACTGAGAATCAACTAGCTGGTACAGAAGAAGGCCCTACTCACTCCATACCTACCTACAGTTGACCAAAAAGTTTTAGGCCAGCAATTATTAGTTAGCTTTGCTCTTTCTAGTGTGAGAAACCGCAGGCTGGATCAGTAGTTCAGCAGCCACACACTCATAAACACAGTCGTGCATGTTAAATCTCTTTCAGTGATCAAACCAAACCGTTTCTACTTCTTCATTGTGACAGTATTACTAAGCAGGTAAGGGTGGGTATTTGTTACACCGTGTATAGTGAATGGATTGTACTGTGTCTGTGAAAGCTGGGCTTTAAATTATATTTTCATATGTTTTGTTGGGGACAGAGCACAGCAAGTTTGAAAGAAACAAAAGTATTAGAACTGAAGGCAATTTACTCAAAATTCCTGTCAAGAAAAGCTGCTTAATAAATGTACGTGAAATCACATTAAAATAAACTGCCTCTGACCCAAAATAAACATGGCTCCTTATTTTAATTAGCTCCACTGTGAGAACCTGCATCAAGTTTACTGTGGGAATTAAAACATCTGTCCAGTGCCTGTTCTCTTAGGCTCCCAATGATTTTGCAAAAATCTAGATATGTAAAAGATTTTAGTCACTTAAGTTTTGCTTACTTTTCTATAAATGATAATTTATCATAAGCTTGGGGCTAAAGCTCTTTCACGGACAGGACTTTAATATTCAGACGACTTTCAGGTTAGCGTGGGCCATACTTACAAACTGCAGTGTGTACATATGGAAGCCAGAAGTCAATGTCATGCATCCTCAATCACTTCTCCACACCGAGACGTGGTCTCTCACTGAGCCTGGAGCTCCAAGGTTTGTCTAGACCTCTAGTTACTGCCCCCCCCCCCAGCGGGGGTTTCCAGGCACATGTCTGGTGTGTCACCGAGTGCTGGGACCAGAACGCAGCGGAACAAGCACTTTACTAAGGAAGCCTTCCCCACGGTCCCTTGCTGAGCACACTCTTTTTCAAATTATTTATTTCTTGTTATTTCATGTGCACTCATGTTTTGCTTCCATGTATATCTGTGTGAAGGTGTCAGATCATCTGAAATGAGCTACAGACAGATATGAGCTGGACATGGGTGCTGGGAATTGAACCCGGGTCCTCTGGACCAATAGCCAGTGATTTTAACCTCTGAGCCATCTCTGTAGCCCTGCCCAAGTATACTCTATGTAAAACTTAGCAGGGAGCTAGGAGGAGAATGCACTGCTTTACTGCCTCCCAGGACTGCTTAACAGCTGGCATCCAAATGTCACAGGTTTGTCCCAGATTCAAACAGTTTTTCAAATAAAATACAAAAGGTAAAAATAAATGTAAAAAATAGAAGTATTTTAAAACATATACATATATACCTTTTCAAATGATTCAAATAATACACCAATTCTGCTCCTACAAATACCAGCAACACGGTCTATAGCATAGTTCACATACAGCAGCCCAGAAGACGACCAGCTCTGAATATTTACTTAACATCTTAAATACCCAATTTGCTCAGAACAGGTCTCAATCTTTTGGTAACTACTAAAGCAGCAAATGAGAAGTTATTAACATTCCCATCATAGAAGAGGAAGGAGCACAGTTCAAAAGTAAAGGCCCCCGGCACCAGGCCAGTGAAAACCTATTGCAAATGTGGTCATGAAATGGGAGCCCTGCACAACGTGTCCTCTTTAATGGGAATGGGCACCACACCGCTGGGCTGTAACTAAGACACACAGTAGTTGGATTTGGGTTGTAAATTCTATTTAATCACTTACTGAGGAATGTTATTTCCAATTTGCATTCTCATCAGAAAAATGTGAGAAAGACACTGATACATAGTCTGTCATTTTATGCCACAAACCACTGGCAAGGTCATTTAATGAGAAGAGATGATACCTGGCTTATCTTGGTCCATTCTCTCACTACTTATAAATACAAATTTAATAGTTTAAAAATAATCATCCAGATTAACCTAAAATTTTTATCTCAAAATTAGCAAAATATACCTTATATTAATTCCTAGAGCCAGTGTTTCTCATATTAAATAAGGGTATCTTCAAGCCTGTGATCTCATTTCTACATGCAGCTCCAAATCTACATAGGATTTATCATTGACTAAATTATGGGTTTTTCTTATTCAAAGAATTATTTCACAGAACTGTTATGATAGATGCTTTTTATTACATAATAGTAGTCATGCTCAATCACAACGATCAACAGAAATTTGTAAATCTTCTGATTATGCTAAATAATCTACAACTATTACACATTTATATTTTCAGTTCAGTAACATTAAAGTAATTCCTGTGTCCTTCATTTACCTTTTCTAACTGGAGGACAAATAGAGATATAAACACATAAGAACTTTTCTTAAAGCAGACAAGATTAACAGAGATTAAAACTGTATTTATTGTAGTCAAAGCTGTACCCTGGCCCTTGCGACACCACACTCCAGAGTAGTTCTCAGTCAAAAGAGTGTGGAGGAGGGGACAGGAAGTGACACCTTGAAGTCTCCTTAGTCTCTATTTGAGGTTTTGTTTTTTTTTTAAACTGCTAAATTGTACTAACTCCTAATAAAAGCTAGTCGAAGTTTAGAACATTCTGATCAAAATGGGTCTGAACATGCCTTTCAAAGCCCTGCTGGTCGTAGTCAGGAGGGAACTGCTCGCTGCACATCGGACACACCTTCCAGTGACTTTCAACGTGTTCTTCAAATTTGCTCTGATCGTAGTTGGGAGGGAACATCAGTTCACAGAGGGGACACTTCTTGTGAACATCAAAGCTTTTAAAGAAAGAAGAAAATGAAGAAGAGTTAGGTATGTTCTCACTGTAACAGCACCTGTCAGTGGACACAAGTACTCTATCGAGCTGACAGCTGTACCGAGCAGCTTATCCTCAAAGTCGTCTAAGTTTAGTGAACCTCTTTATGCTTCCAGAGTCTTAGTGCTGTGGAGAGCATGTGTTTTTACAAAGCCACCACTAAATCTGGTTTCACAACTGGATTGACAACCCCAAATCTATCCAGATCAGACATTATGTGGAATGAGGTTTACTGTAAAATGCTTTTTCACTTTTCAACTTGAGTGGTTTTGTTTCTTTTTTCTTAACTCTAAAAATGAATACAACTCATAATTTTCCATCAGTGACTACTGGGTTTAATAGCCAAGAATTTTAGGGGCTTGAATGAGTAAGAGTGCATGCTACTCTTGCAGAGGAGCAGAGATTAGTACCCTCTCTGGATGGCTCACAACTGCCTGAACTCCAGCTCCAGGGAACCTCATGCTCTTTTCCAGCCCTTCAAGCACCTGAACTCAAGTGAACAAACCCACACACAGACATGACACATAGAATTTAAAAGTGTCTATTTCAAAGTTTCTATGCCCCTGGCTCTTCAAAAGATGACACATGTCTGAATCACCAAGAAAGCAAGGTACAGTGAGTAGCTAGAGCCTTTACCTGGGATTTCCTTTCTGTACGCTAGGCTCTGAGCACTGTATTTTTTAACAAGTTCCCAGAAACGATTTTTTAGAATCACTTATCTTACATACTTCTATGTAATTTTACAAAGGAAAAAACTTGCCTGGAATCAAAGCAAAAGCCTGCGCCATGACCACGTAAATGCTGATTGGCTGGATCAGGAGGGACCAGCCCATTGTCATCTTCCTGCCGCAAAACAAAGCAGGGCAACTTTTGAGAAGAGTGAAACCAAGTGTCAAGTCTTTAAACCAAGTGAGCTCATATCACATCTCAATTACCCCATTAAATTTTCAGCCCTATTATTTAAACTTCCACACATATTTATTTTACATACATTTAAATTTCGAATACAGCTTTTGGGGACCCAAACCGTACCAGCCCATACAACTCACTACCCTTCACTCCCCCACTTTCAACAGTTTTGTGAGTAGCCATGAGTCAGCCAATAGCACAGTACGGTGGAGGCTGAAGTGCCACACTCAATCTATTAGACATGTTAACCGCCTGCTTGTTAAATAAATACTAGGAGAGAAAAGAGGAAGAGCAATTTCTACTCACTAAGCCATAAATAAGCTGACAATAATCTACATATTCTTGTCTTTTCAAAGCAGACTTCTAAGGCTGGCCATGGTAGCACGTGCCTGTCATCCTAGAACACGGGAGGCTGAGGAAGGAGGTTCAATGAGATGGAGACATAGCTGCATACCAAGAAGGTCTCCAAAGGACTAGGGGAGGCCAGCTGTGGTGTGCACAGGCCTTTAACCTGAGCACTCAGGAGGCAGGAGCAGAGGGATCTTTATGAGTTGAGGTTAGCCTGGTCTACATAGTGAGTTCCAGGCCAGTCAAGGCTACAAAGTGAGTCTCTGTCTCCAATAATGATAAGAAATATTGAATTCTGGTTGTTCAAATGAAAAACAGCCATTTCTTATGAAATAAGGAATCACCTATTTAGAGGATAGCTTGAGCCATGAAGTATGGAAAGTCTTCAAAGCAACTAGTTCCTATAATGACTATTTAATATTCAAAACGATCAATCAGATCTCCACTTAGTGTGTTTACAACCATAATGAAGTCATTCCAGGACCACTTCGTGAATGAGCAGTTCATTTACTGGGGCTGGGGTCTTCTAAAGAGTGTGCTTTCCAGAGAAGAGGGACCCTAAATTCCAGTAAAAAACACTGTACATCTGCCTTTCAGTTGAAATACATGCATTCAGAAAATGGGCTGTTTCTGTCATTACATTTTTATGACAGATAGCTAGGAAGTAGACTGACACACAGAACAACTGGAGAATGGCTCTTTGACTCTGCTCTAAGACGGGGCAAGAAACAGCTGGATAGAGGGGCTGGCCTTGACCTTGCAGCGAGCTTCCCATTCCTGCCCCTGAGTGCTGAGATTACAGGCGCACACCATCAAAACACTGAGTGGCTTCTGCAAAATATTTCATTCTTAGTATACAAAATATTCAGTGTTGTTTTTCAATACTTTCTTCCTATTGAGATATAAGAGAAAATAATTCTAAATGTTGTCTCTCTTAAAAAGAACTAAAAATAACAAGAAAGCAGGCAGGGTCTTCTATCCTACTTCATTCCCAAGTCCATGTCAATGGAAATGGCAGAATGGACTGGGAAGTGAAGTTATTAAGGCAGATACTTAACAGAACTGGGGCAGAAGGTCAAAAGCAAAATAAGAACTCAAAATTTTCAATATATTTTACCATTTGATCACACAGCTTTTTAAGGGAAAAGAATGAGGTGCCATCTTACATTAATATTTAAAATAATAAACTTGAGTCAAGTTCTACTAGAAACTGAAGAAGACTGCAAACCGTTTATTTTAAAAGACTTCTGGGACTGTTAAGATGCTGTGGTGGTCTGAGGGAGAACGGTCTCAATAGGCTCATATATTTGAATGCCTGGTCTCAGCTGGCAGAACTGTTTTTGAGGATTAGGAGGTGGGTCACTGAGGCTGGACTCTGAGGGTCTTTCTGCCTGG